ACTTTGTAGTACAACTTTAGTACGCGGAGTATCTGGCGAGCTGGACGATGAGAACTGGCGACTGTGTAGTACAACTGCAGTACGCGGAGCATCTGGCGAGCTGGAAGATGAGAACTGACTGGCGACTTTCTAGTACAACTTTAGCACGCGGAACAACCTGGGGAGCTGGAAGCTGAGAACTGGCCACTTTGTAGTACATACACTTGTACATGCCCAGTTGGTTCAACACGCCGTTGCAGTACGCTGTTGTGAGCTGCTGAACCTGCAGGGGGCACACACCTTACACACGTGGAATCCCGTGGGTCAAAAGTCCGGAGCGCGTGCGTTTGACTGGAGGACGCGCATGTTGTAGAGAACGTGGACGCTCCTATAGGTCAATTTCTTCTTATATGAAACTTCCGCCGCCGGCTTGCCCGGGAACTACTTGTATTTCACCACGTGTTGCAGGAATAGAAAGCATATAGACGCAAGACCAGCACAACCCCACAACAGTGGATGCTAAGGGCCACCCGGCTTTTGCCCTCTCAAATATGATGCGGATGCTAAGATCAGGACGCCGAGGCTGCGATAGCCAGAAAATCTACACTAATTGAGCCACTCAGATCACCAAGTGCAGTGTTTTCGACAATTTTTGTTCCAGCTTAGAAAACCCTTGGCCCGCCATACTGATTGTTCTTGAAATTCGCAGAGTGCTGCGCCTCCCACCAGCAGAGAGAGATCATTAAACAACAACTTGACATAGATACCTTTTTGGAATCTTTCACCAGCTGTTACATACATATCAGACCACCGCAACCCCACCGGGCTTTGGCCATCTCACAAAAGACTTGAGTCCTTAGATGAGCGAGGTTTGTAACCACGAAATCTGCACTCCAAGGCCCACAAAGTCCTGCACCTGCCGCCAACTCTGCACTTCCACATCCACAAAGTCCTGCACCTGCCACGAAATGTGCATTGCAAGGTCCACAAAGTACTGCACCTGCCACGAAACACGAAAAACAAAAAAAAAAACAAATCCAAAATTAAGTGGCCCAATCTACAAAGGGAAAGGGACCGTTCCAACACAGCACATCTTCTGCGAGCCACGCGAGGGATGCTGAGGGCTACCAGGCTATTGCCATCTGACATAAGACCTAGATGTTAAGATCAGCACTCACTCCTTGCTTCGCAAAGTGGACTCCGAGGTTCACATAACGCTGCTCACCAAAATAACATACAAAAAACACTACCAAACAAGAAACATTCAAAAAAAAACACTACCAAAAATAATTCCGGTACCTTTAAGAAGCGTGACGGACGAGGAATCCAAAAAGCGGATGAGGTTTGTATCCGGCTTGAACCTAAGCAGGGTTAAGTTTCCCAAGAGAAAAGGAACCAAGTCATTACTGAACCTTGGAGCTGGTTTTCTTGACACTGCGATGATGTTGACTGTTGACGTTCGCGGCCTTGGGGGAGTTGTTGAGGGTCTCACCCTTCAAGGAACACTGCAAAAGGTGTGAAAGAAGCTGTCAACATGTGTTAACTTCCAAGCATCCTTCGAGAATTCTGTGCATTACTTCAACTTTGTCCATAGTATAGAGTCTGATCCTTTGCAAAAGGAGAGAAGTTTCACTGCTAGCAAGGAGCAGCTGGCCTGTTTGGCCGCGCCCCGCAGGCAACGGCTACGGCTATGGGCGTTCCTCCACTCCACTGCAACTGGGCGGTTAATGTACTTTTTGTTGATTCTCCTCGAAACTCTGTTTGCTGGCCAAGTTTCACAGCTTTCAGGCATCATTGCTGTTGAACTTTGCTCTGCTGGTGAAACGCATGGCTTCACCATCACTCCGTTGGGGTGAAGCCTTTGATGACTTGTTGAACGTCGCATCCAGTCGACAGCCATGGCCACGTGTATTGGCGTTGATTTTCTACAACTCCTTGGTGACCTTCGTGATTCTGCCCCTCATTTTTAAGTTGCATTTGTGGGCGGGTTGCGCTGTGTTTTGCTTTGGTCTTTCTAAGGCTACTGGTGCTCTTGGAAGCCCTTTGGAATCGCCACGACGCAGCTGGGCAGCCAGTGACAAGGTTCTAGTCTAAATTAAAGCTCTTTACTGCCTTGTAATTTTCAAGAATGCCCTTGAACGTCGCAACGCATTGGGAAAAGAAGTATCAGGAAAGATTCAGACACTTGTTTGATTTGATCTCCTGTTTTGTAGCACCTGAGAGTCTTCTGTTATTCTCTAAATGTTCTTTTTGCTCGCTCTACTGCGTCCTTGCTGCTTTTGTACATCTTCATGTCTTTTCACGGCCTTTTTCCCTCCAAAGATAGGTTGCACACCGAGGCCAACAACTGGACCTTTTGGATTTGTGCCTTTGCCAACAACCAGACCCTAAGCTGAAGCAGTTGTGCAAATAGTTTCACGAAAAACACATCCTGACCCGCAATGAACATGCCTGAACTCAGCAAGCTGAGACATACTTCATTCTGAAAAAAGCAATGAAAGAGTGTGCCAGATGGTGTTGTTCGAGCTTTGAGCTGGGTAGGTACGAGCTGCGCCATGCTTTGGATGCTCGGGAGTCGGTGGAAGAATCTTCTTTCGCGCAAGCTTTGAAGCATCCAGCGACTGAGAATGTGGTATGTGACCTGACGAAGCTGAAAGTGTGCACTTTTACATTCACCACAGTTTATGCCTTACCCAAAGAGAACACGCAATACTTCAGGAGGAAAGTTCTTTCTTCTTACCGGGTCTCAAAACATCAGCCGCGGTCAAATTAAGAAGTCCATTTCGTGTGGCCAGTGTGGGACGGCCTTTGTTAAATATATAACAATCGCTACTAGGAGCAAGAAGCTACTAGTAGCTCCTGGCCATACTAGAAACAAGAAGCTAGTAGCAAAGGGCATCGCTACTAGTAACAATTAAACAGCTTTGGAGGGATGAAATTCGACCGTGCGAGGCGGGATTCTATGGGAAAGGGTTCTAAACGTGGAACTGTGGAACCTTCAAAAAGGAAAACTTTTGTCCTAGCGGTGTATAGCCTTGAGCATGCAACATTTTTCTTTCGATTCTTTGTTTGTGGCTACATTTGCAGGTATCATTGACCCCAAGTGCATGATTTACAAGCGGATTTGGTGTGCTTTTGAGCTCTTCTATGTGAGCCTTGGCTGATGATGTCAATAGTTTCCCAAAGTCTTTGGTTTGCGCTTTGGTTGGAAAAGTAGAGTTTTGCTGCCACACATCCCTAGGAAATGCGTGCTGCAGAAAGAGAAACCAGACTTGCCAGTGATTTTGATCAATGAGAAGGGCGTCATCAGCGAGGGTGGTCTCAGTGCCCATCAAATGCCACGCATCCGGAGCTTCAGCAGCACGCTCTAGAGAGAGTCTAGACACTGAAGGAAAGATAAGGGCGGCTTCCATCTTCTTGGGGTAGCTTCTTAATTTCGACCTTTTTCCTGAATGCATGGGGAAGGGTTCCCGTGTATTGCCTGGGTGCGCTCGGAAAGTGTCGAAACCATTCCAAACGTGTGGTGCGGTGCAAATTTGTGTGGCATGTAGTCGCTTTTTGTGGCAGGCGCAGGGAATCGTGCGGTGGTGACGGTTGGGTACAGGTGAATGTCGCTGTGCTGTTGGAGTTGAGATGTCCGCAGCTGCTTTTTGAGGCACTTGAATTGCTAAACTGCTGTCTAGCCCAGGGTGTCGTGCAAAGGTCTGCCAAACAAAAGCAAGTGAATCGCGTCCGCAAGAATGTCCTGGAAGAGTGTCAGCCTGTCAAACAAGGTTTGGTCGTTTGTGTGTGTGTTCATCTGGGTTCGGGGGTTTCTATCAAGCTTTTCGGGAGGGCAATATCTTGCTGTTGCAGATACTGGTCTTCATGACATTGCTTCAGTTTGTTCAGCTGCATTTCAGGGATGCAATTGCTACGGTGAAGACAGAGAATGCTGAAGCCTCCAAGAAAGTGGACAAAGCGCGTATTGACTATTTTATTTGCAAAGAAGGCCGTTACACTTATTCCATGTTGGATGACACTTTGAAAGATCTCACCAATGTGCCTTGGCTGGACGTTGTCTCTCAACTCTGTTGACCGGAAGACAAGTTGGAGGCCATCACTAGGTTGGAGGCCATCGCTAGCCATCGATTTTACCAAAATCTGCTAAGACGATGTTTGCCCTGTCACAGCTCGCAGGTGGGCCTGGACAGTGTAAGCTTGAGACGCAGAGCGATGGTGATCTTTTTTGGTTTGTGCCCTATCACTTCATTTTTTGTCTCAGATTCTGGGAAGCACAGACGGACAGGCTGACAGTGGTCCAAGTGAAAATCAGGAACACCCATGTTCATGAAATCCTGCGAACATTGATTGAGGACTGCATCTTTTGGCTTGTGATGGCCCTCCGCCCCCAGAATAAACACTGGGGAACATGTCCTTTGGTTGCAAAGAACTTGAGCAGTTTAGGCATTCAACAGCACACTCAGCTCAGGGTGTCGGAAGCTGGCGCTGGACACGCCAACTTTATGGTTTAAAACTGGTTTCTACTTCTTGGCAAGCATCATCTTCTTGCTTCTGATTGTCATTATGTCATTAAGCTCCGTTGAATTCACTGTGGGATCTCCAAGAGAAACCTGGCTACATCAAGGACTTAGTGACTTTGTATGGTGCTTTGCGTTTCACAAGTTTACACATTCTGTTTGGACCCAAAGTGAATCCCTTTTGTCTGACAGCTTGAAATGTTTGAGGATGGCAGTTTTGAAGCGCAAGACTTTTGGAGAACCGTATCAGTTTGGAGCCTCTTGTCGAAGCACTTCCGGTGATGGCCTGAAACCGCTTTCGTTCCAACAGCGGTCCGTTGGCTCAAGCGAGTGCAGTCACCCCGAAACGATCGCAGTGAAGTAACAAGAATTCAAAGTGATGCCTGAGGACTCAAAGCAATCAAAGAGATGAAGATCCGCGTAACCTTTCCTGCATTTCATACCAGGCAGGTGTTTTGCCATTTTCGAGAATCATTTTACACTTTCCTTGCATGTAGTTCATTGGAAGGCTCCAACGACGAGTGCTTTTCAAAGCGATGTATGGCATATCAATGCTTTCAGGGCCTGCTTTGACCTTGGCCTTTGTGGCCATGGTGCTTTTGGCCATTCAAAAGATACGAGTTCAGGCAAGGTTTTCATGCCGTGTTGGTATCCAAACCTGGAGTCAAGTACTTCAAGTGTGCTGTAAACCTTCAAGCTCTTGAAAGACACAATGGCTTCAACCTCCCAGTTTGGCTCCATTTTTGCACACTTCACTTTGCAGGATGAAGAATCGGAGATCACTGCGCTAAGGGCATGTTTGATATTTCTTGATCTTGGAGGTATTGTTCCTTTTGACGGAAGACTTGGCCAGGACTTTCTGGAGTTTTGCCTTGCATTTGCTTGGCTGGTGCGCAAATTATGGAACTACGCAACTTGGTCTCATTGGCTGATTCTGCGGACGCAAGAGTTACAAGGGCAGCATCATGTTGGCTGTTGCTGAGGTGCAGATAGTTTATGGCATGTTGGGATTGCTGATCGGTTTGGTGTATCTGAAAATCCGCGACAAGATGCTTGTTTGATCGCTAGTTTTTGTCTTGCAGCCGCAGATTGCACTGCTTGCTGTGTTGTAAAGCTCAGGAAGATTGGACACATCAGGCGATTGCTTGAAGAAATATTGCTGTGACAGCCAAACAAAGCTGTTGGCTGTGCCAAGCTTCCTCCAGTTCCGTTTGAGACCTTGAATCAAGGGAAGCTTGGGCGACAGTTGCTTGAGACTAAAACATTGGATGAGCAGCCTTTGAATGGATGTACCATTCATCCTCAGTGGAATTCTTGAAATTCTTGAGCCCTTGGCTTTTGTCTGTCGTAGCACCCAAGACTTTGCATTTTTCCTTTAGTAGATCTCGTATGGCTCAGTTTTCTTTCTGGTTTACCCAGTTTCTCCCTGCAGTCTGGCTTCCCAATCTGTAAGCTTTACGTTTGGGCTTCCTGATTCAGAACAAGAGAAAGAATCCAAGTTGTTTGTCAGATTATAGTGTTGTAAAAGTGTTGATTCTCCAAACATTTTGGGGTGGATTCTTTTCTTGATTTGAAAAAAATGTCAATAGTCTTTGGCCGCGCCTTTGAAGCTTGTATTATGTCCTTCTAGAGTTTTTTTTTGTCCTGCTGTTGCGTTTTTGCTGTCCTTTGGTCGCGTTGACGTCTTAAGTTTTTCCTGGGAGCGTTGGGAAAGGCTTCTAATTGGAATTTCTATGTCTTTTTATGTTACAAATATATTTGTAGTTTGTTTATGGGTATGATGTCCCTGGAAGTCCAAAGACTATATTTTGACCGGCTGAAGTAAAGGAAGTTCCCTTTCAGGTCCCCTAAAGACCATTCTTTTTATAGTCTTTGACTCCCAGGGATGTGTTAGTATTGCTTGTTCGGAGATGTTATTGGAATTTCCAGTGTTTCGATTTTTTTTGGTCGTTATTTGTAGTTTGTCATTGTGTTTATTAAATTCAATTGTTTGTATCGTTTATATGAATTAGCCCAGCTGGAGACCCCAATAGCAAGATACAAACCGGGACAAAAAGAAAAATCTGGAAACAGCTGCTGTTTTCAACACATCGATCATCTCTTCCTTGGACACCATCATCACATAACCGGGACACCATCACAAAATGACCAGGGCACCATCAAAACATGACCGAGACACCGTCACAACATGATTGGGACACCATCACAACATAACCGGGACACCATCACAACATGACCGGGACACCATCAAAACATGATCGGGACACCGTCACAACATGAGCGAGACACCATCACAACATGACTGGGACACCGTCACAACATGACTGGGACACAATCACAACATGACTGGGACACCATCAAAACATGACCGGGACACCGTCACAACACGACCGGGACACCATCAAAACATGCCCGGGACACCATCACAACATGACCGGGACACCATCACAACATGACCGGGACACCTTCAAAACATGACCGGGACACCGTCACAACACGACCGGGACACCATCAAAACAGGACCGGGACACCATCACAACATGACTGGGACACAATCAAAACATGATCGGGACACCATCACAACATGACC